GTCACTCTTACAAAAATCAATTTTATTTGTCAATAAATATTGTGGATAATATTTTAAAGTTGAATATATTATTTGTGTTTCTGTTTTGAGCTAAAATTATTATTGCATCTTTATTTGATTTTATGAACCATTTAACCATGGAGCCTAGGTATATGCTTTTGAGTCAAATAATACTTTGTTGTTGGCCGCAAACGATCAAAGAAATTAGTTACTTTTAACTCTCAGAAATAGTCAAATCTTAAATTAGTCGAACTTTAACTATTTACGTAGTAAAAAATAACTATACAGGGTGTCTCACCAGCGATCATCGGTATCTGAGATAAATATGTCAAAATATTGGATTTTTACAGAAATTTGCTTGTATTTCCGAAACCTTACTATTTAGGTATAGGAAATGGTTATACCAATCGAAATGTAATTCATTTTCCTATTTAATTATGTAAGAACATGCATACCGTTCCATTGAAAATAAACAAATTATTAATGTTTGAAGTTAACCAAATTTACCACGATTTTTCTCTAGTTTTTGATCATAAATATGAAAATTTCAGACATGGAATCTTTAAAACAATGTTTTAAGATTCCAACAATCCTTACAGCATACCAGCAAACCGAATATCAAAAAAGTTATAAGCAATTTTTAATGAAGGTGCAACTGTCAAAATTTTACGGAAAAAATTATTAACTCGAAAACTATTAAGTTTAGGTATAGGGAATGGTACAGCAATTTCATTAAGAATTTCATGAGGAATTTAAAAATTAAAAAAATTACAGGGTGTTCCATTGGAAATAACAAAGTTGATGTCGCTTCCGGTTAAACCGAAAGAGGAATTTTATTTAAAATAATTTTAAAAGGTAGATTAAATTGTACAATAATTGCTATAAAAATTTCAAATTGATATCCTCAGCCGTTCTCCGTAAACGTCTAAGGTACCATCGCTGGTGAGACATCCTGTATAAAAGTAAAAACGACTATTTTATTAGTAAAAAATGCTGGTACTAATTCAAATAGTACAATTTTGACTATTTTATTTTAAGAGAGAAGAGTAGTTAGAAAGTTTTACAGTTTTCCAATAATGCCGACTGTGTCCAACCAAAATTATTAATCTGTCATTTTCCTCTAGAAGATCCGACAACACTGGATTACGAACACGTTGGCACAATCCACACATCAAACAATCAATCAAACCAAACATCAAAATCCACACAACAAGGTCTGTTCTATATCGTACTAAAAATACAAAAAATCACTGCAACACTGCACAGAGTTTAACGGCGGCCATTTTTGTTGTTTACCATTTTTTTGCTTTAGGTTTGTGCTGTTTATACAAATTAATATTAATTTTAATCGTTGTGTTTCTTACAGATGCACTTGTAAGCCTTAAAATAGGCCTTAAAGTGCTAAAAACAACCATTTTATTCCTCTTTTGTAAAAAATAAACCTTATTCTATCAGGACTGTCATCAAACTGTCAAATGTCAATATTAAGGTTAATTTATAACCCACAAATTAACCTTCAAATTGACATTTGACAGACCTGATAAAATCAGGTATATTTTTTATAAAATAGTAGTAAAATGGCTGTCCTTAGTTCTTAAAGCCCTTATTTGAGGCTTACAAAGGCCTCTGTAAGAAACACAACGTTTAAAACAATTATTAAACAGTACAAACCCAAAGCACAAGAATTGTAAACAAAAAAATGTCCGCTGTTAAACTCTGTGCAGTGTTGCAGTGATTTTTAGTATTTTTAGCATACGGTGTGTTACATTTAAAGTAAAAAAGTTTTTAACGTTTTAAGTTAGCCTAATTTGCTCAGGTAATTGGTTAAAAAATGTTACAGAATTCAAAAAACGATGTTTTAAGATTCCCAAAATTTCGCCAATGTACTAATTCTTAAGAAAATTAGTTGGGTGAATCTAATTTAACAAAAATATTGTTGCAATAACATAACCTAAATTAACAACTTGTACATACACATATCCTGATTTAAACTCTTGGCAAAGGTTTTCGCGTTCGCGTACCTGCTGCGATAATTTAATTTAGATATTACCCGTCTTGTGTTTAATTTGGCTTGTTATATTTTCCGTGTTTGTTTTGCACGCTCGTGGAGCAGCGCCACGACTACGAGAGACAGTGTGCATGCCCCATTCAAAGATTAGATTTAGATACGCTCGGCTCAGTGTTACGTTGGAACCACTACTCAAATAAAAGACGATACGGATAATGCAATGATATTATTTCACTTTTACGTTGTTTGTTTTAATCGTGTTTAATCTTCGCTTGAATCGTTTCAACAACTTCAACCAATTAGTTTAACATTTTTTCACAGTGTAGAGAAAAATATATATTTCAAGTAGTTTTTTTAAATCTCTTTATCGGTTACAATTTTGAAATGAGATTATTATAATAAAAATAATTGAACTTGTCAAAAATGGCGGATGCACCGGGATCAATTTTACTTTATATTTAGTGTGCGGATTTTTAATTGACCTTGGACAAATAGCGCTCGTAAGTAAACAGTAACTATCAAATCTAATAACTATTATCAAATAATTGGATTTCGGTTAATAAAAATAATAATAATAATCTTGCTTATATTCGTGTCTAAGATCATTTCAGGCTGATGCTAATAGTTTTATTTGGAGATTGGATTAGAGTCAAACTAAAGAATAAAATGGCGGAAAAGTTTAACATTTTCATTCAACTATTTTCAGGCGTTCTAAGTGTTCTTGTAAATTTAAATAAGAAAAAGTAATAACAAAAATTTAATCTATAAACCTGTTTTTTCCAAATTTTGTTTATTTAGGGTTGTTATTTAACACCTTAAAGTGGGCAGTTGGATTTTTTTAAATAGGCCCCTAAAAAGAAAAAAGAAAAAAAAATGGTCCCCTGGGTCACAAATTTACTAACAAATTTTCGATGAATTTCCATCGCAAATAACTTGATTATTTTATGTCGGATTTAAACGAATATTAAAGAATATTGTAGATAAATTAATGGACAATAGCTCACATTTTAAAAAATTACTAAAAAATAGACGTACGTTTATAATATACAGGTTTAAACAAAAAGATGTTTTTTTACCATAAGTTTAAGACACTCTGTAGAGTGGCAAAACCGTATATTGTTCTAAATTAAGTTTTATTTATAGTCACATCTATTCTTAACAGTTTTGTTTTTGGATCACCTCGATATATTTATTTTTGTGGAAAATATGGATTTTTAAAAAAAACATTGCAATTTCCAATATTTTTCTGCATGAAGAACTAAGGTTGCTATGGTCCAGAGTTTTGTTTTTGGTTCACCTTGATATATTTATTTTTGTGGAAAATGTGGATTTTTTTAAAAAAAACATTGCAATTTCCAATATTTTTCCTGTATGAAGAACTAAGGTTGCTATGGTCCATCCATAGCCTATGGAGAATGACATTGACAGTTTTGTTGAATCATCCCATACTTGGACATGTCATACACGGCTTTTAAAAGCTATCAAATTGTTTTTGCAAATTAATGTTTAAATTTTGAGGTGTCTACTTACTTTAAAAAGTGGATATGTCTCCGACTGATGTTGCCAGAGCCATTAATTTAATCCAAGATGGACGGTCACAGTATTACGTGGCAAGTGTTTTAAACGTCACAAGAAGTTAAGTACAAAGGGCAACATCAGTCGGAGACATTTTAAAAAGTAAGAAGACACCTCAAAATTAACACATTAATTTACAAAAAACAATTTGATAGTTTTTGAAAGATGTATATGACATGTCCAAGTATGGGATGATTCAACAAAACTGTCACTGTCATCCTCCATAGGCTATGGATGGATCATAGCAACCTTAGTTCTTCATACAGGAAATTATGGGAAATTGCAATGTTTTTTTAAAAAAATCCATATTTTCCACAAAAATAAATATATTAAGGTGAACCAAAAACAAAACTGTTAAAAATAGATGTGACTTAATTTAAAACAATATACGGTTTTGCCACTCTACAGAGTGTCTTAAACTTATGGTAAAAAACATCTTTTTGTTTAAACCTATTTATTATAAACGTACGTGTATTTTTAGTAATTTTTAAAATGTGAGCGATTCTCCATTATTGTATCTATAATATTCTTTAATATTTGTTTAATTTCGAAATCAAATAAAAAAGTTGTTTGCGATTGAAATTCATCGAAAATTTGTGTAGATCGATTATTTTGCCAACACTTGAATTATAAATAATTTTTTTATAGGGTTAAATTTAAAATTTTACAATTTTACTAATATCTAGGTAGTTGCTAAAAACACTTAAACCAATTGATTTTGCTTAGTAAAGTTCCAAATGGCGTTAAACAAGATTTTATGAAAAAAAACTACGAATTTAATTTTAAGGAGACTGGATTAACTTCAGATGTAATATAGTAGTAGTAGTGCAGCGAGATTAAATGTTTAATTAACAGTAAATTTAATTAATCATTGCTCCTGATTCTACGAGATAGGTAACACGTGTTCATGTTAGTGGTTTCATGCATTTGATTTATATTTTCGGTTTAATTTGTATCATTACTAAATACTTTAAAGGACATAAATTTGACGGTGATAAAGTTATTATATTGAACAAAACGGAGTATAATAAGTAGATATAATATAAAAAAGGACCCTTTAGTTTCTATTTACCCCGCTATTTATTACCTTCTGTAATAGTTTTTATTATAGTTTCTTTAATTTTGGGATTTACCACCTTAAAACAATGTACATTATTTATTATATTATTACCTACAAAGATGTTTTAAAAATTCCACCTTTCAAAAATCAAAAACTTTTAAAAATGATATATAATTAGCAGTAAATTCTAAATCCTGATAAATATTAAATAAAGTTTTAAGTGGAACATGCCAGTGTACTACGTGATACCCAGAGGTGAGTCTTAAAATTTCATAAACCACAAGGTTAATTCACAAATAATTATCTTAATTTTCCTTACATGCGCCATATATATATAAATTATTCAAGCTTTTCTAGGTGCGAGTATATAAAGTAAAATTGCAGGAAATTTCATCAGATTGCAGCAAAATGTCGTCGGCATTGTTCAAAAACTACTTCGATCTAACAATGAAAAACGTTTATTTATCAGGTTTGTGGTTCAAACACTATCAAAAGTCGAAACACAAAATATACTGGGCGATACACTGCCCCATCGTCATATCCTGTGCAATATACATGACGTATTTCGAAATAAAGAGCGTCGCTCAATCAAGGGAGCTAACAGAGCTTATCAAACACTCCAGAGACCACTTGAATCACGTGGCGGGTACTGCAAAGTTGGTCGCCTTTATTTTCATGCGAAAGCAGTTCTACGAAATATTCAGGATTTTGAAGAGCTACGATTTCAGCTACGAGGACTACCCAGGATTCGATTGCACGAAAATTGTAAAGAATCAGTTGAAAACCTGCCACAACTGGATCAAATTGTTCTATACTTTGATGTATATCATTGCTGTTTCCATTTGGATTGGAGAGCATTACAAAATTTTCACCACTTACTCGGTTGTCCATGATTTTGGGACTGTTTGGAAGATGGTGGTTGTCTTGAATTTCTCTGTGATTGGGCTTATTAGTCTTGGTTGGATCACATTAGGTAAGATTTAATGATATGTTGATATAAGATTGTGTAAATAAATCTCTGCCATTGCGGAAGTTCTGCCCACTTTTTCGCTTCCTATTGACTTCTGATATGACATCGTTGCATACTAACCATTTTGAAATTCCTCAACAACGACTGACTCCCATACTTCTACCAGCATTTTTTCAGGTTTCGACGTCATTTTCACTACGATGTGCAGCTGCATAACAGCCCATATAAAAATCCTGCAGGGCGCATTCAGAACCATTCGGCCGAGATGTCTGATGCGCCTGAACCTCTCGAACCAAAATTACCTCCACGATCCCGAGGAATTGCAGAAAGAAACCATGGAAGAAATGAAGAGATGCATCAAACATCTACAGGCGATCATAGAAGCCAGCGAAAAAGTCGAATACGTTTACAACAAGCAGGCCCTGGTGCAAACTATGATATCGCTTCTGGAGATTTGTTTTTCTCTGTATTTAAGTTCTGTGAGTTTGAAGATACGTTTTTAGGGTTTTCGGGAGTTATATAGAATGATTTTAGATTGGAGATGAGGATATAGCAATGAATGTATCTTACTTACTAGCAACTCTTTTTCAACTTTTGATATACTGCTGGCATGGAAATGAGTTAACTTTAGCTGTAAGATTATTTTTTAATTAAATTAAAAAAACATACCACTATACAATACAATTTATTAGAACTAAAGAAAGGTGGTATGTAAGGTTTTTTATGTATATTTCTTTGTTTTTAGAGCTCTGGTATACATTATGCAGTATATGAAAACGACTGGTTGTCCAGTAGCACGGAATACAAAAAACTTATAATATTTACATTGTCAAGAATGAACAGACCTTTATACGTGACTATAGGAAAAATATCTCCAATGAGTTTTGCCACATTTTTAACAGTTAACTATAACACTATAATGAACTGCTCGAAAAATTAGCGAAACGCTTTGACGAATAAGTTTTTTTGATTTTTTGTTCTTTGGAAGTCACTTAACAACAAGAAGAGATACATTTAATTACATTAGTTTACAAAATCGAAAAAAATTCTGCCCACCATAACCCATTATAATCACACTCATTTTTTTTATGGAAGCGTTTTTGAAATATGAATTTTCAATTTTCGGGTGTTTTGACGTTTTTGAGTAGAGCTTGAAATCCAATTGATCGATTTGGTCAAACAAGCCCTTAAATTGAAGGCCTCTAAAACTTTCTTTTACATACTTTTGATATCGGATAAGAATTTTGACGCTAGCGATTTTAGTAACTTAAAAAATTCGTTTTTATAGCAAAAATTGAGTTCGAAAATTTACATATCGCCCTGAATTTTTTATCATAAAGCGGACATTTTTTCAAAAAACAAGCTAATGTTGATACATGGAAAAATAGCGAAGTTATGAATTTTTTTGTGGAAGACCAAAATTCAGTTGTTTGACGATTTTTTTTTTTATTTTGTAATATGTTTATTCTTGAATAAAAACCTAAGTAAAGTGCATAACTGGAATTTTTTGAGTTTTTTACGTACTTTTTTCACTGAAAATATTATTCAAAATTTAAATTTTACATGACTTGGCATAGTGATATTCCAACAAGGTATTTTTATCATGGTTTTATTTAGTTAATAAAAAACGTAAAATAAGTAAAAGAACTAGTTCGAGTGCGTAAATAACCCGGACAATCTGGGCGACGTAAGTGATGAGCACGGAGAACGTTTTCACCAGAAAATGTAGGCTATGGAGCGGCGGTATCACGGCTTCTGGGATGCAGTCATGATGGGTGATTACATTTGGTCCCTCATACGAGAAACGGAATACAAAAGCAACAAGAAACAAATAAGGAACCAGAATTTTTTTAAAAGAAGAAAAAACATAAAAATTCTCGAAAAACTAAATTTTGGTCTTCCACTGAAAAATTCATAACTTCGCCATTTATTTATGGATTTTTATCAACAGCAGCTTATTTTTTTTCTTAAAGTATAATCTATATGCAAAATAAATCAAACTGGACTTATCTTTTCGATTTCTATCTTTCTCAGAAAGAAATGAGCATCCAAGAAGTCTTTGGTACATTTTTTTAAAATGTTGTATCCTTGATGAAAATGCATTCTCTTAGCGATCTAGTCCATTTGGCATTCATTACTGTTTCTATCCTATTGAAGATTAATTGTTAAATTAAAGTTAAATCTTTCTTAAAAAAAACTTAAATTTGTCATTTCTTAAATCCATAAGAGGCTTTTCGCTAATTACTTTGATTAGAACAAAATTTGGGGTTTGCACGTTATAATAATACTAAAGTTTGGACATTATTTTAAAAGATATAATATATATTTATTAAATAAAAATATTTTTTTGGTGAATGCAAACCCCTGATTATATTTTAAGATTTCAAATTTTTAAAACCATGTTTTTAGATTGTACGAGGTTCATACTCGGTATTTACATTCTTGAAACAAAAAGACAACATGAATACCCCGCAACAATAAAAAAAAACTTCGTTCAATCAAATTTCCTCAATTTTCTCATTTGTTTTGTTTCGTTTGTCAACGAAACAAATGACATTTGCGAGTGCCCACATATGTAACAAAACAATTTACAGTTGATAGTGCAGAAATTCTGTTTATGCTCGCATGTACACAATTGAATATGACTTTAATTTCCAGCGCATGATGTAATTGCCATCGCCCAATATTTTACCGATTTAATTGGGCGGCCAGTCAAAGTGAATTTGTCCAATCAAAAAATCATCGCAAGCAAGCTTTCACCTCGCCGTTATATATGCACCATTTGTGTTTATAAGTTTGGAATAAACACGGCCTATGTTATATCACCGGTGTTATAACATTACTTTGCTTTATAAGGCAATACAATTTTAATAGTAATTTGCACCCACAATTCAGTTAACCTGGTGTTTTTTAATTAAATGGTGGTGCAGTAAAAATAAGAAAATATCTTGAGCCAACTCAAGTAATAGTTAACCGAGTTAAACTGGCCAAGGATAGAATAATAAGGAAGCAGTAAGGATGACGACAATGCTCTAAGGAATACTCTCCAAGAAACTGTTAATTTTAACACTAATGAACCAAGTAAAAAATATAGAATAAAAATCCAACAACTTGTAAGTGTTTTATTGTAAAGAATCGCACCCACAATCAAGTACATTGTAATGTTATTTTACGAATAAAAGAATTTATTTAAAACACAATAATAAGGCATCCTTTTTGTTATAAGGGTCATTTTTAAGAAACACCTGCTTTCAGGAAATTTTTTTTTGCTTAAATTGATTTTTGGTTAGATTTTTATAAGGGTGAAAATCAAAAAATCTTTGGAAAACGACCTACAACAATTAAAAAACTAAAATGTTGCTTTTTGTCCATTAAACTTTTTAATATTCTAAAATAAAGATTTCGCAACATAATAAAGCTTATCTTTGAGATCAAGGAAAGGTAGTTTTTTGTTATGTTGATAATTGTTGTCTTCTGATCTCAATTATGTCTAGTCGGTAACAGTATAGTTTGTCGGGAATAAAGGTTCTGTAAATGGAATAATAATCAAAATATATGTTTAAAAAAATACTTATAGTAAATACCATTATAATCAAAATTGCAAATATTGGTGTTATACATCAGAAAAATGTAACAAATCTCATATCGATATCAAAATTTTACCGCTAGAACAGTTACCGATTAGACCGTAAAAAAATACGGTAGCGTTTTTATGCAAACAAGCCTAAATATATTTTTTTAATGCATAAACAGAAAAACTTACCTGGTTTGAATGACACATAAACACTAACTCTAGCACACTAACCAACAAATGACAGGTATTACGTATCCTGGCGGATTTTAGGCGAAATTACAGTTATCGTTACCGACAGGATGCGATCAAAGCAGACAGTCTGTTACCCAAAGGCTGGATCTTTAAAACCACATTGTTTTTAAATAAAATGTAATTTATTTAATACTTGGTGTTAGTTTCTTTAAAGTGATTTACATTTGTCCTGTTTTTAAAAATGATTTGATTGAAAAATCTAGCGTAAAATTGTAAAACGTAATAAGGGACGCGTTACCGACGAGACAAAATAGCTCTTTGTTTTTCTTTTTAATCGATGTTTTTAAATCTGGGTAAATATTTAATATAAATCTCGTATAATTAACATGCAGAAATAATACTAATAAGTTTTGAGACACTTCACTTCTTTTTCTAATTTTTAATTAGCCAAAGACGCCTACCTAAACATTTTTTGATTTTTACCCATAAATGTTTAGAGTTTTGTTTACTTACATTTAAGACAGGCAGTGCACTTTTTAATTTTTTTTACGTTTTTTTCAAAAAAATGTGTTTAGCTAGCATTATATATCTCCACTGTGTTACCAATTTGAAATCCAAAATTTAATTCAATAAAAAAAGTTGTTATAAAAATAATTTGAAATAAAATGTACTTAGTTCACAAACTTTTGTTTTTATTTTATTTTTTATTAAAAATTGTATGCTTTTTTAAATATTTATGTTAGTTTAAAAGAAACCATTCCGATTCTTTGTTAAAAAAACAATACCATTAATATTTTCTTTTAGTCACTGTATTAGTGAGTTAAACTCTAATTTATAAACAGGTATTACCAAGTGATAGTAAAATCATTTTAAGGATTTTTTTTAACAAAAACTAAAAAAAGTAACGAAATAGACATTGGTATCACAACGGACTGGGGTACACAAAGGACTTAATCAGATAACGTAAAAAAGAAACTATATAGGGTGGTATGATTTTAGAGTTATGCATAAACAAAATCCCTTGTAGTGGTGCTCACTTGCAGAATAACAACTTAGATTTCTAAATTGTATACACCCTTTTTCTTTGACTATAAGCTGGTGAAGGTCCCTTTTAGTACTTTTATATTGCGTGGAATTTTTCTTTGGATGTAATCTATATCATAAGTTGTAATTACAAATAATTTTAAATTGGTTAATCATAAACTACTTTTAATAAAAGCGACGGTAAATATCCACTTTGTTGTCGAAAAATTCTATTGCGTTACCCTAAATTCCATTGCGTTACCATAAGTTAACGTAGTGGACTCGGTAACGCAGTGGAAAAAGTTTTGTGAAACCATATTTAAAAAATATTAATAAGACATTACAGTCATTAATTACTCTCAATGAGCTTTAGTGCCCTAAAATAAACATAAACATGAAAAATAGTATTTTTTCTTACCTTATTTTTATTATTTTTTTTTGAGTAACTTAGCGGACAATAAATTATTACATTCGCGTTACCCGCACCTGTTTCAACCGATATCTTCTGATTGAATAAATAAATTCAGCTGGGTAATGTGTACGTCCAAACATCATTTGTTAATCACGTGAGTGCCAAAAAAGTTGCCATATATATGTTTTTTTAAATATTCCATCGGTAACGCGACGGTCGTAACGCAACGGAAAAAATGTCTGGGACATGAGTCAAATTTAAAAAAAGTAGATTAAAATTAATTAATTTATATATAAATTGTTTACTGTATTAACTAAGGATGTTATGGATTGCTATAAAGCAACACAAATTCTGGTTATTTAATATTTAAAAAAAAACATGTATTTAAGTTTTATAAAACGCTAATGGGCCATGCGAAAATGTGTGTTTCACAAGTTTCAAAATTAAAAAAAAAATTATTCTGAAATAACTAAACAAACATTTTCTGAAAGATTTTACTAAGGGCTTGTTAGGCTTTCACTTGGTTTTTAAATAAGATCCGATAATTTTTAACAAAGTTATTGGAATTCAAACTTACGGACAGCGGAAGGCGGGTGTTTTTTGAAAACGACCCATAATCTCTCTACTGCAAATGACACAAATACTCCGAAACACCCTGTAAATAAAAATGGCTTTAAACATTCTCATACAGTCTATAGACTACTTATAGCTAGGCTTGCCCATTGGTATTCTGGAGACGGCCGCTGGGGGCAGTGGCGGCCACTCCGTTCGTCTTTTGTTATTTGGCGGGCGGCCGTGCGTGATGCCGCCTCCGCCGCGCCGTCGACCCCTCGATTCCGCCAGGATTCAAATATTTGACCTTTTAGGCGATCGCAGATGCATTTCGGGAGCGGATGTTCGCTCGAAGAAATCTGTTAATGAAAAGAGCTCTTCTTTGTTTTGGGCTGTTTATTTTGCGGAAAATGTACTTAATTTACATTATATACAGAGTGGCGTTGAGGAACCTCTTAGAATTGAAATTAGGCGTTTATATATAAACAATCACAAGTTTCTGACAATACCACAATACACCTAATTAACTAATCTTAAAATTAAAATTAAGGTGCCTCAAATCTGTATATATTTCTGTATTTAAATCAATTCAGGTAAGTGGTTAAAATCGTATAAATTTAAAATTAGGATAAAAATTAAAAGTTCTTTAGATCTATTTGCTTATTTGAAAATTCTCTAGGACATTTTTTTTAAGATTTAGGAAGTAAATTATTTTTTATATTTTTTGGTAGTTCATTGTATATCTTTGGACCTAGATAAATTATACTTCTCTGCCCAATGGTTTTATTCATTTTTGGAACAGGTAAGCCATTTTTATGTCTGGTATAGACTGATTTTAGAGGTACTTTTTTGTAGCGTGTGTATAAATAAAAGATTAAGGTGGAAAAGTTGTCTACAGTCCATTTTACCAGATATGAGAAAGAGTTCATTTGTAGGGTAAATTATTTTGACATTTTGAGTTATTTCCAGATCCTTTAGATGGTTATATAGTACACCACCCCAACCTAAGATGCCGTGTCTTATGTGCGATTCCACAAGTGTATCATAAATAATATTTAGTTGAGGAATTGACAGGATTGGTTTTAGAAATTTAAAAAAGGGAATGATGCATCTTATCTTTTTTGAAATTTGTTGCACATGTAGATCCCATCTCAAGTGTGGATCTAGAGTAATGCCCAAGAATTTGGCTGATTCAGTCAAATCCAATACAAAGTTTTCCTTGGACTTTTTAATGGTTAGAGGTTTGAAATGTGGTAAGCTTTTGGAGTAGGAACCAAAGGCTATGAAATTTGTTTTTTCCATATTTATTGTCAGCATGTTATGATCAAATCATTCCTTGATAAATTTATCAATTTATTAAAGAAAAATGAACTAAGAACGCAATGTAATCGTCTAAATTTAGGTAAAAAGTCCCCGAACAGTTTAGGCATACATATATTTAATAGACTCCCCTTAGACATTCAAAATGCTAAGTCAATTAACATTTTTAAAACGCTTTTAAAGTCATATTTGTTGTCCAAATGTTATTATGGTATAAGTGAATTTCTTTTAATGTAGATTTAGTTCCTGTAAATTATTACTATTATTATGTATATGTACCTATTTTTAATTCTATTTATGTTTGTCTATTTTCAAATGTACCTTGACGTTTTCTACACATGTATATGTCCTCTGAAATAAAGCCTATTATTATTATTATTATTATTATTATTATTATTTATATGAAATCATTCTCTATTTGATTTTTTAAGGATAACCATGTGTTATCTTTATAGAAAACTGTGGTATAGTCACCAATAAACACTGTTAATCTGAATGAAGAAATAAATTGCATACAGTTTCTGTAAATATAAATTGTACCTATTAGATACAATTAATACACATTTTAGTAGTGATTAACGTGAAAAGTGTAAACATTTCAATTCAGTAAAAATCGTCAAACAAATAAGTCGTCAAAATTTAAACAGCATTTAGCATTATTTATAAAGTTTTGATTAAGATGGTCTCCACTCAACGGTAAAATATATATATATATTATAGTATGTATTATATATAATATTATGTTGCCATGAATTCGGAGGTATATTTTATTCTTTAAAATGCAGTTGTCGGCGTTTTTTAGAGAACTCAAATATAAAAATGGTTGATTTTAAGGTTATGTTTGTGCAAACATTATTTTTTACTAATTTCTTAAAAATGTCCAAACTTAAATATAAATTATATTTGATAAAGTTATCATTAGTTAATTCTGCACCAACAAATGTGCTTACCGAATTGGATCCTTTGGCAAAACATGAAAATGCAACGATTTAGTTTTTGAATTTTATTTACAATTAAAAACACAATAATTCACCATGATCCCTTAGATAAAATACACACACTAACGTAACTATATAAGCATTTAAGCGTTGAGTTTCTTAATCAGGAATAATCAATCGAAATCGAGTACTAAAAAATAACTTGCGCGATTTAGCTGTGCAATTGAACAAAATTTGTGTGAGTAAGACTTCTGCCTTTCTCTCTTTTGTGAAAAAACTACCTATTTATTAAAAAATGATGTATAATCTGTGCTTTAAATGTATTGTTGACAATTCTTAAATTCACACAATGCTATCGAAGTTCACCAGATGGCGCGCGCGTCAATGTCAAATGTCAAATATCAAAATAAAAGTCTTCTTTGACAGAATACGACAAAAAGTGCATTACTACATCAACCCCCCATACATCTCGCTGCTATTAGCATAATCCTCGGCTATATAAGAGTATCAATGTCGACATAGTTTTTGAGCGAAATCCCTGCGACACAGCGACAGCGATAAATAAACATGGCGGCTGCGTGCGTTCGCAGCCGTAGTTTTATCCGTCGTGGGAGCCTGCGGAATTAGCCACGTGTGCACGTGGCATTTTCCGTGGAAATCCCAACCAGCTCTCTCGATAAATAGTAATCCTCTTTGACCCAAGAAGGCACTTACCATTTCGCAGTCTTAAGTTCGCCTCAAACCTAACGAGCTCTCTGTTCTTCGTGCTCCATCCTGCGATGGGCCACACTGCCTTTCAAAATTGAAAAACATTCAAGAGTTTAACATTGTACATACATAAAGGAAAGTGAATAGTGCCCTAAATAAAATAGCAGCATTTCTTTAGATTCTAGAACATACCCAAGTAGCACAACTGGTTAAATAACTAAAATTTTAAGTATACTTTTAATAATAAATTAACCAAAGTCTTCAACCTTTAACATTTTTTTACCTATAGGTAAACTAAGGTTATTTCAAGAGTTTAAATTGACTAAATAAACGAAATATTTTTCTACACAGAGAAAAGTAATCTCTGGATTTGACTATATTTGGCTTGGCTCAAATAAATTATTTATTTCCATATCTGCAAGAAGATATTTATTTAGTGTAAATAGTTATTTATGTCATTAGGTTTATAGTAGGCTTTTTGTGCTAAGCTCAAGGTTTGAAGGCCGACGCGTAGCGGAGTTACTATATGCAGCTTATATAAGCTTATTTAAAATATGAAAGTATTATGTACTACTATGACTATATAATACACTCACAGGCAAAATAATCGATCCACACAAATTTTCGATGAATTTCAATCGCAAATAACTTTTTTATTTGATTTCGGATTTAAACAAATATTAAAGAATATTGTAGAGACATTAATGGAGAATCGCTCACATTTTAAAAATTACTAAAAAATACACGTACGTTTATAATATACAGGTTTAAACAAAAACATGTTTTTTTACCATGAGTTTAAGACACTCTGTAGAGTGGCAAAACCGTATATTGTTTTAAATTAAGTTTTATTTATCAAGTCACATCTATTTTTTTTTAAACATTGCAATTTCCAATATTTTTCCTGTATGAAGAACTAAGGTTGCTATAGCTATATGTAGAGATGTAAAATGCTCGAGCATTTATTTTTGGAGAACGCAAATTGAGCATAAACGAGAATAAACGAGCATAAACGAGCACAAACGAGCAAAAACGATAAATTCCCGAGAATTTATTAACAGCAAAGTCGAATTAGGACATTGCACGTTTTTTCTCAATATTCTCAAAAAGATTCTTATTTTTCTTAATATTCTCGAGAAGATTCTCAATTTTCTCAATATTCTCGAGAAGTATCTCAATTTTCTCAATATTCTCGAAAAGATTCTTAATTTTCTCAATATTCTCGAGAAAATTCTCAATTTTCTCAATATTCTCGAGAAGATTACCTACCTTTTTTCTGGGCATTAAAATCTTTTCTTTATAAAAAAACTTTAAATTTAAATGGTTTAATCGAACAGATACATAAAAACATATAAATAACAAAAATATCACTTTGAAAAAATAATACCTACACTGAGAAAAAAATGGGACAAATAAACTGTGTAGCTAATACTTTTTATTAATAATGAATATATTGTTTCTTATGTACCTCTAAATAGTCGAAATAATAACGATAAATTAACTTTAGTAAATTTACTAAAGATTATTATTTCGACTATTTAGAGTTAATAAACAATAAATTCACTATTAATAAAAAGTATTAGCTACACAGTTTATTTGTCCCAATTTTTCTCAGTGTATAACTAAAAATGTACCCAAACTGCGGTATATAATATATATTATTAAACCGGTAAACAAAACAAAATATTTTTATTCAAGAGCTTAGAATCTAATCCAATACATATTCATTTTCTAATAGATCCTCAAAGTCTTCAGAACCATCAGACGTGTCATGAAGACTTCGTTATCACTTGTCTCCTCTTCAATAATTCGTTGAGTTGGATATCTTTCAAACTATTAAGCCGGATTTATAGTTTGACGGAACGGAACGGAACGTAGACGTAGACGCACTGCAAAAAGATCAACTTTAGAATGTATGTACTCTTGTTTATAAATGAACGTAAGCGTATGACGTAACGTAAGCAAAACGGACTGAAACGGAAGAGTTGGTCAACATTTATCTTTTACAGTGCGTTTCTTACGTCTGGCCAATAGGAAACCAGTAAACATAACCCCACCTACATTTTAAAATAACGACTATTAATAATTATTACAATATTACTATTTTTGTTCGCGCAGTCGCATTAGCGCTGTTACGGACGATAATATTACGGTAATATTACTGCTGGTTGGAATGAACCTATTATAAATGACATTTGATAGTTGTTTTTTTGTGATCTGAGGTTTATAAATTTGTGTTTGTGCTAAAAAATGGACATCTAATAACTTATTAAATACTGGAACAGTCATTCTCGTATACTTAAAGAACTAATCTGGATCAACTATTTTAATTTTTTTTAAATAATTGTAGGCATTCTCCACTTTTCTGTTACGGTTAATGGGTCTTGTTTTATAACGTCTTGGTCGCCTAATTATTGTTTTTCCAGTTTGTCGACAATTTTTCAATGCTGCTGCACACAACAGTAGACCCACAGCACCAAAAAGTATACCTTCATGTATTTCATAATCCATTGTGACACGGAAGACGAAACAGAATTAAACACAATTAAACAACAAA